CCTGTACGGACTGCTAGCTCAGTTAATTCAGGACTCATACACAAGTGTGTTCTCAATTCCTCGGACTTTGTCCTGTCACAGGCGATGTGAAACCATTTGCTTAGTGCCCCCAAATTCCTCGGAGGACGTAGCTGACACAAATCCAGTTACCTCTGGGCTAAATGATATTGGAGTTTGATTGCCCAATAAATAAGCATCCCTTTTTCCTACTCAAGTTTGGAACCAGCGGAGAAATAAAGATAAAAACATCAGCTTCATAGCTGATAAAGAAGGACCATACATGTGGCTCCCGCTCCGCAGTCAAAAGGTCCTGCAAACACCGCCTGCTTTCCACTCCCCTAGACTAGGCCTCAGGGGGCTGCCCACCAAGAAAAAGTTTTGTCCGTAGATTAAAAAAACCCTTACCTACGACTGCTGTCTCACACTAGCCCAGGACACAGAAGGAAGAAAGAGGGACAAAGCCTCAGTAAGTGAACTTTTAAAATAAATTAGTTACAGTCAATTGAGAAAAGTGGATTAAAAAATCAATTAAATCTCATTTAAATGAGATGTCCCAATTCTCAGAATTTCCTTTTCATTCCTGCCATTTTGATTTGGGTATATATCACTAACAAGGGCAATTTATTTTTTATTTTTAACAGACATGTAATAACTGTACATGTTTAGGGGGCACAATGTGATGTTTCAGCACATGCATACATTGTGTGATGATCATATCAGAATAATTAGTGTATCCATTGCCTCAAACATTTATCATTTCTTTGTAGTGGGAACATTCAAAATTCTCTCTTCTGGTTAATTGAGATATATCAATACGATACCTTACTGTTGACTACAGTCACCCTACCATGCAATAGAACACCAAAACTTATTCTTCCTTTCTAGTTGCAATTTTGTACCCTTTGACCAACCTCCCACATTCCCCACCTCCCCCGGTCCTGCCCAGTCTCTAGTGACCACTGTTCTATTGACAACTTCTGTGAGAGCAACCTTTTTAGAATCCACATATGAATGAACTCGTGCGGTATTTGTCATTCTGTTCCTGGCTTATTTCACTTAACATAATATCCCACAGATTCATCCATGTTTTTGCAAATGACAGGATTTCATTCTTTTTATGGCTGATTAGTATTTCACTGCATATATATACCACATTTTCTTTATCCATTCATCCATTTTTGGGCACAGGTTGATTCCATACCTTGGCTATTGTGAACAGTGCTGCAATAAATATGGGAGTACAGATGTCTCTTTGACATACTCCATTTCCTTTGGGTATATACCCAGTAGTGAGATTGCAGGATCATATGGTAAATCTATTTCTAATATTTTGAAGAACTTCCATAATGTTTTCCGTAATGACTGTATTAATTTATATTCCCACCGACAGTGTGTAAGCGTTCCCTTTTCTCCACACCTTCACCGATACCTTCAGGAATAGATTATTGCCCTCCCTTGGGGTGAATTCTGACTCTATTAGTTCCCATGAAAGCCGGTTGTTAAAAAGAGCCTGGCACCTCACCCTCCACCCCTGTCTCTCTGGTCATGTGATCTCTACCCATGCCAACTCCCTTTGTCTTCTGCCATGAGAGGAAGCAGTTTGAGGTTCTCACCAGAAGCAGATGCCCAATATTGAACTTCCGAGTCACCAGAAGTATGAGCCAAATAAACCTTTTTTCTTTATAAATTGCTCAGGCTCAGGCATTCCTCTGTAGCAACACAAAATGGACTGAGACAGGGTATGTATTAAAACCTTCTATACCTAATTTGCTGACAGGAACATTGAATTTTGTCAAATGCTTTTTCTGCATGTATTGAAATGATCGTATGGTTTTTGTCCTTCTATTAATGTGATATATCACATTTATTGATTTGCATATGTTAAATCATCCTTGCATTCCTGATAGATAAAAATCTACTCCTGCTATTAATTGTTTCCCGGTTGTTTTGTAGAATCTCTGTTCTTTTCTTCCTCCTCCTCTTGTTGTTTACCTTTGTGGTTTGGTAGTATTCTGTGGTGCTAAGCTTTGATTCCTTTCTCTCTTTTGTGTACCTGTTGTAATTTCTTTCTTTGTGATTATCATGAGCCTAATATATAGAATCTTGTAATTATAATAGACAATTTTAAGCTGATAACAACTTAACTTTGGTTGCATAAAAATATTCTAGGCTTATGCTCTCCCCCTAATTTACATCTTTATATATTATGTGTTCCTTAATAGGTAATTGTAGCTGTAGTTATTTTTGACCACTTGGGCTATTAACCTTCATACTAGAGGTTTGAAAGATTTATATGACACCATTACAGTACTGGAGTATTCTGAGTTTGATTATGAGTTTACCTCTACTAGTGAGTTGTACCCTTTCACATGTTTTCATGATAGCAATTATCATCCTCCTTTTGCTTCCAGTTATAGCATTCCCTTAAGCATTTCTTGTAAGGCCGGTCTAGTGGTACTGAATTCCCTCAGCTTTTGCTTGTCTGAGAAAGACTTTATTTTTCCTTCATTTCTGAAGAATAGCTCTGGTGGGTATATTATTCTTGGCTAACAATTTTTTTTTTTGAACAATATGAATATATCATCTAATTCTTTCCCCACCCGCAGAGTTTCTACTGAGAAATCTGCTGATAGTCTAATAGATATTCCCTTATATGTGACTTGACATTTTTTCTCTTGCTGCTTTTAAAATTCTCTCTTTGTCTTTGATTTCTCACAGTTTGCTTCTAATGTGCTTTCGAGAGGACCTTTTTGAATTGAATCTGTTTGGAAACCTTTGAGCTTCCTAGATTTGGATGTTTATCTCCCTCAAAAGTTGGGAAGTTCTCAGCTATTATTTAGTTAAATATGTTTTCTGTGCCCTTCTCCATCTCTTCACTTTTTTGGTAATCTAGTAATGTGAATATCTGTTCACTTAATGGTATCTCATGGGTCCTGTAGGCTTTCTTTGTTCTTTTTAATTCTTATTTCTTTTTTCCCTCTGATTGAGTTATTTCAAAAGACTTGTGTTCAAGTTCAGAAATTCTTTCTTCTGCTTGATCTAACTGTTGTTGAAGCTCTTAACTGTATTTTTACTTCATTCTTTAAATTCTTCAGCTCCAAGATTTCTGTTTGATTTTTTAATGACATTTATCTCTTTATTGAATTTCTCCTTCAGCTCATGAATTTGTTTCCTGATTTCATTGAATTTTTTTGTATGTACATTCTTGTATCTCCCTGAGTTTCCTTAAGATCATTATTTTGATTTCCTTTTCAGACATTTTATAAATTTCCTTTTCTCATGTTCCTTTAAAGGTGTCATGTTTCCTTGCTTTTTCATGTGTACCTATATTGATATTGCATATCTGGTGGATCAGTCAACATCTTCTGATTTTATGAAGTAGCTTTTGTAGGGAAGGACTTTTTCCTGTCGATGGGTCTTAGTGTGGCAGTTGGGTAGTGTGCACTGACTTTGGTTCTGGTTGGATGCAGTAGTGCAGTCTCCGTGCAGTTTCTTCAGCTATAATCCATGTCAGTGATAGTACAAGTGCCTCAGTGGCCTAGGCTACAGAAGTTTGTGGCAGTGTTGGTACAGCTTTGCTAGAAGAGGGGCCACCAGGCTGGTTCTGAGACTGGGGGAACATGTGTAAGGTAGGTCACCACCATGGGCTTGGCTTCTCTGCTGTGCAGGACCACCTGTTCCTTGGAGGGCAGGGTGCTGCATGAGCTCAGGTGCCAGAATCATGGCTGTTTCACTGCGCCTAGACTCCAAGTGGTTGGGGTTACGGTGCTGCAGCCACCTGTGTGAGCATGGTGGAATGACAGCAGAGGTTTGTGGATGGAGAGATGCAATGGTTACTGCCCCCCAGAATAGACAGCATTCTAGCAGCAGCTCCAGTTTCAAGATGGTGCCGTGCTGTAACAGTTTGGATCATGGGGGGTGGAGGTGCACAGCATGGGCTTCTACTCTAGAGCAGTACAGATGTGGGACTCCAGGCAGCTCCCCAAACTGGGCTCAGCACCTGTGAGGACGGCAAGCACTCTCCTGTAGTAAGGATTGCAGGTGTCTGTGGTGGTAATGGAGGCTGTTGGGAGTCTCCTGCTTACCTTTCCTTAAAAAGGGATGTCCTCCTGGCTCTGAGCTAATCCTGGCAGGGGAGACGGTGTGGCAGAGGCCCGGTGCTTTGCTTCCCTCTCTACGCTGCCATCCTGAGTTTCTGTGCTGCCACTCCCTTGATGTACTCCAGTGCTCTCCTTCAGTCACTCTAGTCGAATTGTAGTTACTTACTTGTTGCTTTGGTCCTTTTTCGTGGGCACCTCTAGTTAGCCATCTTGCTGACGTCCAGGAAATGTTTTGAGTGGAAAATACAATGAGTTCTTTCTGATGTTTATTTTGCATTTTCAAATTTGTAAAGCAAAATATTTGAATTTGGGTTTTTAGTGTTGACTGATGTAGAATAAGAGTAAGGTTTTATAAATCCTTCCTTCTGTGTGATTTCCTGAGAGGTCACCTGTAGAATTCCTTGATATATTTTGCAGTAGGTGTGATGTGTGGTTTTGAGTGGTAGAAATAGCACTAAACCAGTTCATGTCTGTACTCTTCCTGTGTGACCTTCGAAAAATAAATTTATCTCTCTCAGCCTCAGTCCCCTCATTTGCAAAAGAGAAATAATCACACCACATTGGCTTGGAGACAGACAGTGTGAAGGTCAGGTGAGATACTGGATATAATAGCATTTTGAACTTTGAAGGAGCTTTCAGGTATTATGTACTGCTTCTGTGAATTCAGAAATTATGAAATACTTATGAAATTAGATCATAAATGTGAAAAGGCCTAAAAAGGTAATGTAAATGGAAGGTATTAAATATATAAAACTTGTTATCAATTAAAGAAGTATTCAAATTTTCCACAAAGGGTATATAAAGAGACCATCAGTTTTACAATACACATTATATGTAATACTATAAACTTAAAACTTGAATATATTGTATTGGACTATATGTTTTTATTATAGGACTTACATGATTGCTGCATGTCTTATAGCGAATATTCTGCCCTTCACAATTCCTAAAGGAAGAAAGAAAGAAGAAAGAAACAAGAAAATAATGATTTCATAGAAGAGGTAAGCATTAAAAAAAAAAAAAGAAAAAGCAAACACAAGGCACTGGTTCCCTGTAAAATGGTTACTAGTGCATATTATCTCAAAGATTCAAAGTTTAAATTCTAAGAAACTAACTTTCATGCATCAGGGAGCCAAAAAGTCTCATGGAAGTATCTCATTAAATAGAAAGTGAATTCTTTAGTTCATTAATGTAATAACATTAGTCACATGCAATTCTTACCTCAGGGTCCATATAACCAATGGAAGTAATGCATAATGTGTGCATATGTATATTTTTTTACATGAGGAAGAAGGAAAAATTACAGGCAGAAGCATTTGTGTAGCATGTCTCCATCGGGGAATTTTTTTTCTTTACTTACTGAAGCAACCCAAGTTAGCTGGACATTCACAGCACTCCTTCTCTAAATTGTACAACGGTCTCTGTTAGAAATCTGTTTGAGGCAATGCTTTTATTTCATTTCATTCATTGACTTTACCAAATGGATGCTACGATATAGGGTTGGGGCAGCTTTGTTGGGATGCCAATACTGATAGGTTTGAGAATTCTCCATGGATGACCACCACATAACCTGTCCTCCCCTCCAGCCGCTAGCTCTGGGAGCCTGCCACTCACTTTCTAGGCAGATTTTTTCCTTTGGGAGGGAGGTCAGCATTCCATTCAGCAAGTACTTTCCTCACTCCATTGCTTGCTGCTCTATATTTTACACAAACTTGGTAAAGATATCTGATCAATTCATGGCAACTTTCCCAATTTTTCGATGAAGTTACATATTTTTCCCTTTATGTTTTCCTTGTCAATTCTATGGCAAATTTGGAGCAAGGAAAGCTAAACACAGGCTTAAATCATCATCTGGAATTAAAAGTCAAAAGATACTATCTCAATTGTTTTAAAAATATTTATTCCTGTGAGAATAGAAAAATTTTTAAAGTAGATCTTAGAAGATTATGTTTTGCTGGTATGGTTTAAATATGAGCCCATGTGAAATGATTTATACAGTCAACCATTTAAAACTCATTGCATGTACTTTCTGATTATTCTGTTTATGTTGATAACTAAAGGACTAAGTGAAAACCAGTCACATGCCAAGAAGTACAGAGGTAGAAAATCAGTCGTCCAAAATCCCATCACCAAGAATTTTACTCTCTTGGCATTTAATCTTCCAGTGTTTCTGCCATGATTTATTTAGAGTTGAAACTCATACTGTTAACTCATCTTCGCATTTGTGTTAATCTAATATTATAAGCATTTTCCCATTTCATTGATAATTCTTCGGAGAATCTGTTTTAATGCTTACACAATAGTACATTATACAGACATTACTTTTTATAGTTTAGAATTTAAAATTGTTTGAATTGTGGCAAAATATACATAACATAAAAGTTACCATACTAACCATTTTTAAGTGTACAGTTCTGTATTTGTTAACTACATTCACATTGCTGTGCAGACATTACCTTTTGTGGATATGTTGCTTCTTTTGTTCCCTACTTTTAAATTTTAGATACAGTAAAAGTCACTTTGGGGTGTATATAATTTTATGAGTTTTGACAAACCCATACAGTTGTGTAATCACTCCCACAGTCAGTATTTGGAACAGTTCTGTCACTCCCCAAAACACCCTCATATTGCCCCCTTGCAGTCAACCTCTCCCTACCCTCAGCTCCTGGAAACCACGGATTTGTTTTCTGACCTTATATTAATAATTTTGCCTTTTCCAAAATGTCACATAAATGGAATCATGCCATATGTAGTTTTTTGAGACTCTTTTTAGCACAACATATTTGAAATTCATTCTTCTTATTGCACGTATCAGTAGTTTGCTCCCTTTTCACTGCTGAGTAGTAGTCTACTGTATGTATGTACAGCAGTTTGTTTATTCATTCACCAGCTAGATATCTGAGTTGTTTTCAGTTTTTGGCAATTATGAAAAAAATCCTAAACATACACATACAGGGTTTGTGCTAACTTTTTCATTTTTCTTGTGCTAATACCTAGAAGTGGGATCACTAACTCTGCTTTTTTATATAATATAAAAATTATTTGCTAAACATCTTTGTTTTCATTTTTGTTCATACTTAGAATACATATCTAGAAGTGGATAACAAATCCTAGTCCTTTTATAATATGAATTTTTCATGTATGAGTTTTTAACTCTTGGCTGGTTAAGTATTATTTCATTGGTTGGATATACGGCTGGCTTATTATCAAGCCTTTGTGTTTCACACAGGAGAGGCAGCGTGGCAAGATATTGCATCACTTTTTACATGATCCTTTTTCCTCAAAAGTGTAGACACACTTCACTGACCTCTGAAATTTAGACTTGCAAAGCAGAAGTCTGATTTTTATTCTTTTGTTCATGTGCTTTATTGTTCTGCCTGGAAGTTTACAGTTGGTTTTTTTTTTGTTTTTTTTTTTTTGGTCAGTATTTGAAATAAAAGATAAGTTATAGTCAGGATGTACCTAGTGGTGTGCTTCTTTTCATCAACTTGTACTGAAAATGACGAGCCCTTTTGAATGGAATATTCACAGTTTTTTATTTATAGTGGTGCTGATTATCCTCAGACTACGATTTTTGATTATTGCTCTTGTTCCAGAAATGCCTGTAATTCTGAAGCTGGAGCTCCCTATCGCTACACCGATTATTTCTTTATTGATATATTCATTATTTTTTCTTATATAAATCTCATTTCTTTGACTTTTGCTTGTGTTTCTAAGAAATCTCCTACAGAGATTTCTTCACATGACTGATTTTACTTTACTGTAGTTATTATTTCATTTTATTGTGGCTGGTATATACTTTTTTAGGCAGGGTCTTGCTCTGTCACCCTGGGTAGAGTGTAGTGGCATCATTGTAGCTCACAGCAACCTCAAATTCCTGGGCTCAAGCCATCCTCCTGCTTCAGCCTCCTGAGTAGTTAGGACTACAGGTGCAGGCCACCACACCTGGCTAATTTTTGTAGTTTTGGTAGATACAGAGTTTCACTCTTGGACTCGAACTCCTGAGCTCAAGTGATCCTCCTGCTTGGGCCTCCCAAAGTGCTAGGATTACAGGTGTGAGCCATCACGCCCAGTCCACTGGTATTCTACTTAATGTCAGTACTTATTTTCACTCGTAATTATTTGCAGTCCTTCTCGACCTCACCCTCCTCCATTTACATTTCATACCACCCTCACCTTACACTTCCTGTTCCAATTGCAACATGTACCCTGGTCTCCTCACATCTTGTGTTTTCTGGGAGGTGCAATCCCTAATTGGACTTAGATGGCTTTGGGAGAAAGAAGTTTTGGAGTGAAAAGAACAGCATTATAGCTGCCTCCAAAGGCATTACCTAAACCGTAGTTACATTGTGTACAATGAGCTGCTCCTTCCCGATTTGTGATTTACAACATCCTCCCAGATTATCACTATGGGCTGACCATTTCTTAATATTTTGTAACACTATGTGCCCATTTTTTGATTTGTCATAGGTATAGTACTCTGAAATTTCTTAAAATCTTGGTGAGACTACATAAAATTTTGAACATTTAAGAAGAACCAAACTCTGAGGCTGGCAGGAAAACTGTATTGGGTGGAGAAGTCTTTCTCTTGGTCAAAGGGAAATGACTCCATTCTACTGGGAAGCAACAGCTATGCCTGTGGACAAGGTCATTCACTTACATGACTTACTCAATTTTGCTTTTTATATGTGGATAAAAGAAAATAAATAATAGGAAAAGTGAAAGGGTAATCGAAATTACTCTGCTTATTTTGGAAAAGCCCCAATTGAGGAAAGCCACTAATAGATTAAGCTTTTTGTACCATACTGACTTACAGCCCTAAAAGGCTTTAGATTCTAATTTCAAAGGGGCAGGCAAATTAGACAGACACAGCGTAAGAAAGTATTAGAATTGACAGAAATACTGGAATGCAATAACTGCTGAAACTTACCAAGAATGGTATTTTCTTTAAAAATGTTTTAGAACTTCAAAAATAATTTTTCAGAGCACTTTTAGTGATGTTTAATTTTATCCATTTAAATTAAAAAAAAATTTCTGTAAAAAGAAATTTAAAACTAAAATGTAAGAAAAGAATATATTAGTCAAAGGTATGTTATTGCTGTGTCCCAGGCCCATAATATAGACCATATAGCCATGGTCTACACCCCACTGCCACCTGCTGTGTCCTGATTGCAACCTGAGTGTCCAGGAGTTGCTGACTTGCATCTCGAGTGCTGAGCCTGAAAATCTAAGCCGAAAAGGTAAGTGTGTCTCCACTACAAGTCCCACTACAACAGCAGCAAAGTGATATGGAAAAGAGGGCATTTGATTTCATGAATTCTCAAATCAAAGCATAACACCATTCTGGACCCATTCCTCCTTCAACAACATCTTATAGTGAACCCACTGTGTACCGGGATGTGGATATGAAGATGCAGAGAGATTTTCTCAATTTCCTTTGTAAGTCGGTAGCAAGGGTTCTTTTTAACCCAACCACCTCATTGCCGTTTTTACCATTCTATTCTACTTTGCCCCGTCTAACACACAGTAACCTCTCACCAGCCTTCACAGATGTGACACACTTTGGTTACAATTTAGTATGAAAGTGAATGACTCCTTCATGAAACAGGCATAATATAAAATGCAAGTTATTTTAAAGTTCACGACATTGGAATCCTAATTCTCCAAGCAGGAACCTGCCAGCTTACTCTGGAAATAATTCCTTTGGCCCAATGCATCTGAACAGCAGAAATATGACTTACCAGTTTTTAATTTCATTCTAATTAGTATATGCAAGAGCTAATGGTTATTGAGAGTATATGAAAATTCAAGAACAGCATTTCACAATTATGTTATTTTCTACCCATTACAACATTCATAACACCCTGAAATTACAGATTTTTGAAGTCATAAATTTATGTATATATAAAAAACATATGTTGATGCCACATGAGGATATATTAAAAC